GAACCTGATTCTTTGCAAGACAAATAGCACTTTGACTATCACAATGGACATTCACGTGCTCTTGAACAATTCCCAAATCTTCAATCAACCCATGTAACCATATAGCTTCCTTGAAAGCTTCTGTTACTGCCATGTACTCTGCCTCAGTTGTTGACAAAGCTACTGTTGATTGTAAAGTTGACCTCCAACTTACAGGCCCTTTAGCAAGTGTAAACACATAGCCTGTTGTGGAACGACGCTTGTCTAAGTCACCAGCATAGTCCGAATCCACATAACCAACTAAATTTTGTTTGAGTCTATCATCCCTCTCAAACTTCAAACCAATATCAGTTGTGCCATGAATGTACCGTAGAATCCACTTAACTGTCTGCCAATGACCCTTTCCCGGATCATGCATATACCTGCTCACCATACTGACTGCATGTGAAATATCTGGTCTCGTACAAACCATTGCATACATTAATGCACCAACTGCATTTGCATACGGAATTTGAACCATATGCTTGCGCTCTTCCTCTGTGCGTGGAGACATTGAAGCACTTAGCTTAAAATGAGGAGCTAGAGGTGTACTTACAGGCTTGGTCTTACCATCTACCCCAAATCTCTTTAGAATTTTCTTCAAGTATTGGGTCTGTGTCAAACAGATTGTGCCTTTTCTTCTGTCTCTCTGAATCTCCATGCCAAGAATCTTCTTAGCTTCTCCAAGGTCCTTCATTTCAAACTCAGTTCTCAGTTGAGCTTTCAGTCTGTCAATCTCCACTTTGCTCTTTGATGCAATCAACATATCATCCACATATAAGAGCAAATAGATGAAAGAACCATCAAGAAGTTTGCGAAAATATACACAATGATCAAACTGACTCCGTGTGTATCCATGTTCTATCATGAACTTGTCAAATCGCTTATACCACTGGCGAGGAGATTGTTTCAATCCATACAGTGACTTCTTCAGTTTACAAGCCCAATTCTCTTTCCTAGTGACTTTGAAACCATCTGGCTGAGACATGTAAATTTCCTCTTCCAAATCTCCATGTAGGAAGGCAGTTTTCACATCAAGTTGGGCTAACTCCAAATCAAACTGTGCAACCAAGGCTAGCAGAATACGAATTGATGAATGCTTAACAACTGGGGAGAATACCTCATTATAATCTATCCCCTCCTTCTGAGCATAGCCTTTTGCTACCAATCTTGCTTTGAAACGGATGTTGTCTTTTCCTGGATTACCTTCCTTCTTAGCATATACCCACTTGCAACCAATTGTCTTCTTTTCCTTAGGGAGTTGTACCAAATCCCAAGTCTGATTCTTGTGGAGAGATTTCATCTCTTCATCCATTGCCTCTTTCCATTTTGCACTTTCTACACTCTGTACTGCCTCTTTGTAGGTGCAGGGGATTCCATCATCAATCACCGGAAGTGCATAAGCCACCATGTTACAATACCGAGCAGGTTTCTTGATAACTCTTTTCGGTTTACTCGTTGCAATGGATTCTTGTTGTGTGGTTGCTGAAGTTGTTGCATCCTCTTCATCTGAACTTTCATCTGAATCTCCTTCAGTAGAGATTGTCTGAACAGTCTTTATAGGAATGACTGAAGTCTCCAACTCCACCTGTTGTGCATCACCAGACTGTTTTTCCTTCTCCTGTGATTTCTCTTGTTGTAACATGCCAGACTCATCAAAAGTGACATCTCTACTCAAAATCACTTTCTTTGATTCAGAACACCAGAGTCTGTAACCTTTTACTCCTCCACTAAAGCCCAAAAATATAGCTTTCTTGGCTCTAGGATCTAGCTTGGACTCAGTAACATGATAATATGCTGAGCAACCAAATATACGCATAGAGTCATAATCATTTGCAGGAGAGCCTGACCATACCTCTAAAGGGGTTCTTCCATTTAATGCTGCTGAAGGTAACCGGTTAACAATATGACGAGCATAGCTTAATGCCTCGCCCCAGAACACTTTGCTTAGTCCTGAATGTGATAGCATACATCGGACTTTCTCTACCAATGTGCGATTCATGCGTTCTGCTACTCCATTTTGTTGTGGTGTTTTACGCACAGTAAAATGTCGTTTGATCCCTTCATCCTGACAAACTTTAAAGAAAGGATCTGAAGTGTACTCACCACCATTATCTGACCGAAGAGTCTTAACTCTCCTTCCCGTTTGAGTCTCCACCATTTTCTTCCATTTCAGAAAGATATCAAGGACCTCATCCTTGTGTTTCATCATGTACACCCATACTCGTCTTGAGAAATCATCGATAAAAGTAACAAACCAACGATTACCTCCAAGAGATTCATTCTTTGAAGGTCCCCATACGTCTGTGTGAACATAATCAAGAATCCCTTTTGTATTGTGTACCGCAGTGCCAAACTTGACTCTTGTCTGTTTTCCAAGAACACAATGCTCACAGAACCCATGCTTCCCAGTCTTGGCGCCTTTTAATAGACCTTGCTTGACCAATCCTTGCAAAGCCTTTTCACCAGCATGCCCTAAACGCATGTGCCAAAGTCTGGAATTATCTGCTTCATCATCTTTTATGCTTTTGGAAACAGCTGCTGTACCGGTAACAGTAGATCCATCCAGGAAATATAAGTTTCCTTTCCTCGTGCCTCTTAAGACAACTAATGCACCACGGATTGCTCTCAGGACTCCACCATGCATGATAATCTTATAACCATTGGATTCTAGGACTCCAAGTGAGAAGAGATTTTTCTTCAGGTCAGGTACATACCGTACCTCTGTCAGTGTCTTGACTACCCCATTATGCATCTTCAGATGGATAGTCCCAATCCCTTTGATCTCACAAACATCATCATTACCCATCAACACAACTCCTCCATCGAACTCCTCGAGTCTCGAGAATAAGTGCTTGTTAGGGCACATGTGATAGGAACATGCAGAATCAAGAATCCATTCACCAGAATGGTTTTCTGGTGATGAGACCATGAATGCAGAGTCTCGTTCATCCTCATCTCGTGCAACGTTCACAGTTGGTTCATCTTTTTCCTTATTGCCCTTGATCGGACAATCTTTCTTCCAGTGTCCCTTTTTATGACAAAAGGCACACTCATCTTTTGCAAGATATCGTCTGTTTGATGATTCTCCTCTGGATTTTGAGCGAGATCTCCCTCGCCCTCGAAATCTTCTGGGGTTTGTTCTGCCTCTAACTGTCAATGCTTCTGACGTTGACTCTTTATGAACAATCTGATCCTTCTTTCGGTACTCATTGTTCACCAAAGCATTGGACACATCAATGAATTTAATTTTTTCTTTACCATATAGTAAAGTGGTGACGAGATGTTCATATGTGTCAGGCAGTGAATTCAATAACAGCAGAGCTTTATCTTCATCATCAATTTCCACATCTAAATTCTTCAAATCAGCTATCATTTTATTGAAATCATTCAGATGCTCATTCATAGAAGTACCTTTCTTGTGCTGAAAGCGGAAGATCCTTTTCTTCAAGTAGAGACGATTCTCTATACTCTTCTTCATAAACTTGTCCTCCAGTGCTTGCCATAATTCCTTTGCAGAGTTTTGTTCTGAAAAGGCGTACTTCTGATCCTTTACAAGACAAAGTCGGATGGAACTGCAAGCTAACCGATTTATCCTTTCCCAGCTTTTATCATCCAAATCCTCCGGTTTATCTTCTAGAGTGAAATCCAAATTCATTTGGACAAGCATATCCATGACTTCGCATTTCCACATGCCAAAATTACCCTTCCCATCAAACTTCTCCACCTCAAATTTGGTACTCGATACCGGGATATATTGTGGAGGTATACTAGCATTTCCCACTAATTTTTCTTCTGGAATATCAGCCATTAGGACGTCTTTGGATTACAAATAGGCTCCCGAAATTGTTAAAACATGCACTTTTATGCTCAAAAGAGCCAAAACAGTAACTTCGGTGTGCTGTTTCACAAAACGGACACCACGGTTGCGTCCGGAATGGTTGAAAATGCTAGGAACCAACTTGACTCGGCCTAAAACCGGTCAAAAAATCATTGAGTTGGCCAAAAAATCAATCTGACCGAGTTAACTCAGGGAAGGAATATTCTGTCTCTGATGAAGAATATTCTGTCACGGAATATTCTCTTACTGTCAACGGAATATTCTTATTCTGTCAAGAGAATATTCTGTCACTGTTAGATGATGTGTCTGATGACATGGCAATGTGGACCCTCTGTTGATGACGTGGATGGTGACTCAGCGCCAACGTGTCGGATGACGTGGCTGTCTTCTCAGGTGAGATTTCCGGCACTGTCTGGTTTTTCCGGCAGATTTCCGGCGAAACTTCGGCGAGCTCTACAGGGCTCGTTTCAACTCCGATTTTGATGATCTTTATATCGCCAGACTCGTATCAACGAGAGGAATCTCCACACGTGGTCAAAATCAAGATCTGAGAACTTTGAAAATTCTGCAACTTTGAACAGAGAGCTGAAAAAGGTGTTTTTTTTTTCAGTGTTCAAGCTTCCCTAATGCTCTGATACCAATTTGTTGCGCATACTGGACCAAAAGCAAACACAAATAAAACACAAACAACAGATTTACGTGGTTCCCCAAAATCGGGTACGTCCACGGAGGCAGCAGATTGTATATTATTGGAGGAATGATACAAACACTCAACTCAACCCAGTACAATCCCACTTAACCGGGTGTTTCACTCTCACACTCGGTGTTTCTCTCAAATCTGTATTTTCTCACTCTCACAGTTGCACTCACCACACTTTCACTACACTTATAACATTGCTCTCTCTTTATCTCTATTTATAGGAGAGTCTTGGCAACTTGGTTGAGGGTGGTTGAGGGGGGTTGATGGTGGTTGAATGGTGGTTGGAAGTGGTTGATGGTGGTTGTTAAAGGAGAGGGTGGTTGATGGTGGTTGAGAAAAAATGTTGACAATTTGCTACACAGATTCCATCCTCCCTTACAAACCATAAGAAGCTAGATTGCCTTGCACTTTCTTTCAATGATTTTCCTAGTAAAATTCTGGATGGCTTTGCTAACTTCACACAACTCACCAGGTTGTACCTCTCAAACAACAGGTTTGATGATTATATTCCATCCTTGGAAACCTTAATAAGCTAGATTCCTTATCATTTTCTTTCAATAATTTTTATCGTAAAATTTTGGATGGTTTTGCTAACCTCACACAACTCACTTGGTGAGACCTCTCAAACAATGGGTTTAATGGTCAAATTCCATCCTCTCTTGGAAATCTTAAAAAGCTATACTTCCTTATACTTTCTTCCAATAATTTTTCTGGTAAAATTTCAGATGATTTGTTTAAGGTCACACATCTCGAGTGGTTGGACCTCTCAAACAATAGACTAAAAGGCTTCCCTTATCAAATAAATAAGCTTTCAGGTTTAAACGCACTTTCATTATCTAATAATCAACTGATAGGATGCATCCCATCACAAATCAGTAGGCTTTCAGGTTTAAACTCTCTCGACTTATCTTATAACTTGCTCAGTGGAACAATTCCATCTTCTTTGTTTTCTATGCCTTCTTTGCAGGCTCTTCTTCTTCACAATAACCTATTGTATGGCCACATAAGTCCGTTTCTTTATAATTCATTACAATATATCGATTTCAGTCATAACAGGTTGTATGGCCAGATTCCACCTTCAGTTTTCAAGCTTGAGAATTTGAGAACTCTTATGCTTTCCTCCAATGATAAACTAACTCGGAGCATCTCCTCTGTCATTTGCAAGCTGAAGTTCTTAGAGATTTTAGACTTGTCCAACAATGGCTTTAGTGGATTCATCCCACAGTGCTTGGGAAACTTCAGTGATGGACTCTTCGTGTTGCATCTTGGTGTCAACAATCTCCAAGGCAATGTCCCTTCAATCTATTCAGAGGGGAACAATTTGAGATATCTCAACATCAATGGCAACAAATTGAAAGGGTTGATACCACCATCCATCATCAATTGTGTGAATTTAGAATTTCTGGACCTTGGTAACAACATGATTGATGATACATTCCTTTCCTTTTTAGAAATGCTTCCAGAGTTGGAGGCTGTTATTCTAAGGTCAAATAAACTCCATAGTTTTTTTAAGGTCCAACTATCAAGTACTTTTTCTTCTAAATTACATATTTTTTACCTCTCCAACAACAGCTTGAGTGGTACTTTGCCAACAAAGATAATTAATACTCAATTGCTCAAAACATAATAGATTTTAAAGATATTCTTGCAAAAGTCACATTTGCTCTCAGTTTTCAAAAGAAAGGTAAGTTTATATCTCAACCACAACAAAATCTCAAAAGGCAATACAATAAAAATACAAGTAGTTCTAGAAGTCAACACATGGATCAAGTCAAATCAGTCATTACTCTTCGTACTGGTAAGGTAATTCAAAAATTAATTCTTGAACCTTGTGAGAAAGATGATGAGTCAATCTCTAAGAGTAAGGAAATGGGTTAAATCTGAACATCGCAAAGAAAAGATTGATTCTCCACCAGCACTTCTATTTCCTCATGCCATGATCAAACATGAAGAAATTGAGAATGAAAAAGGCACCATAAATATTGATGCAGATCATTTATCAAGAGTGACAATAGATTCGACATTTTATATCACACCAATTGATGATTACTTTCCTAACGAATCCTTACATTCTCTTAGTTCAATGCCTTGATTTGCTAAAAATATCAATTTTCTTACTTTAGGATTTTTGCCAGCTCACTAGAGTACTGAAGACAAAAGAAAATTTTTAAGCGACGTGCAAAACTTTTATTGAGATGACCGTTACTTATTTAATTATTTTCCTGATCAAATATTTCAAAGATGCATTCCCAATAATGAGATAAGTAGTGTCATTAAATTTTATCACTTTAAGACACGTGGGGATCATTTTTTATTAAAAAAAAGACTGTAGAAATCTTACAAAGTGAACTTTACTAGCCCACCATCTTTAAGGACTTACATGCATTCCGTAAAACCTGTGAAAATTATCAAAAGGTGAGATTTATTTCAAAACACAAAAGTTTTTAGATAATCTTCTATTGACTCTTAAGTCTCATCATAGTGGAGATAAACATCGTGCAATTCTTGACTTATAAACCTATTTTCATAAAGAACATGTTTGACATAGTCTTGAGAATTTGACTAAAAAAACCATATTTGCTAGTTTTTAAGAAAACTAGATGGAAAACATATCCTTGACCCATAGAGGGCACTTAAGTCATTCTTGGATGTAAAACTAAGGGAAGATGTGAGACACAATCATAACTACCTGTACATACACATACTTTTTTGAAGAATAAATAAATAAATAAATAAACGACACCTGAGCTATGAAAGAAACTTGATTTTTTGTTAAAATTATGTTATAATCATGAATGCCTAATAACATTTATAAGTATTAGTATTATTCGAATAAGATAATTAATGTAATCATGTTAACCATTTATAATCCGATTGAAACCTCTTTTGTGTGTTGTTTCTAATTAAGTAATAAAAAGAGTTTATACTATACTTGTTTAAAATACCATTAGTGAATCCTTTAATCTTGGCATTTGTTATTATCATTGTTTAATCCTTATATTGATATTTTATCTCAAAGTTCTCATCAACTTTTTCTTCTTCTTCTTCTTCTTCTTCTTCTTCTTCTTTACTTCTATTATTATTATTATTATTATTATTATTATTGTTATTATTGTTACTATTGTTGTTGTTATTATTGTTATTGTATTATTATTACTATTGTTGTTGTTATTATTGTTATTGTATTATTGTTATCAATCTTTTGATCGTGTCAGCACACATGGAAAACTAGCATGTCCATATTGTATGGAGAATAACAAGGCATTCAAGCTAACAAACAAGGATAAAGTTTTTTTTTTACTGTGACCGTCGTTTCTTGCCACCAAATCATAGGTACAGAAAGAATAGAAAGGATTTCTTTGTTGGTAGAGTTAAAAAGGATGTTGCACCCTCGCGTCTTTCTAGTGAAGAATTACATAATATTGTGTTAGAGTACGGTGACATTGTGTTTGGTCTCTAATTAGGCAAGTAGAAGTTTTTTGGTTTTGGTTTGATCTATAATTGGGTGAAGCGAGGTATCTTTTGGGAGCTTCCTTATTAAAAGGCTAATATTCTCCACCATAACCTTGACGTCAAGCACATTAAAAAGAATATGTTTAAGCACATTTTTAACACCGTCATGGATGTGAACGGGAAGACAATATTAAGGCTAGATTGGATGTGGCGTTGTTCTATAACCATAAAAATATAACGTTGTTATTATTGAATTTTCCATTAAAATGGTAATTGGAAATGAAGAATTAAATTTCATTGTTTCATCTCAAATTTATTCTATTATTGATTGATTGATGTATTTTGTATTATTTCAATTAATTTTAATTATCATTTATGTATTTCTATAGATGTTAGTTTAAAATATATAGATGTTGACTTTCTATAGATGTTAGGTTGTATATATGATGTTGCTAGAGTCAATTGGATTGTGGTTACTATAAAAATTGCAGGTTTGAAAAATATAGGCAGTCTCCAGTATAGTGGAGGTGCTGCTGAATTTTTTTAAATAATAAAAGTTAATTATATAATTATTCATATATATTTATGTAGATGCGTAGAATGAAATCTACAGCACGTCGTCAGCAAACAGTTGCAGCTAGTTCTTCTCGTAGTAAGGAGGACATATCCTTGGGTGTTGATCACAGCGAGGCATCTGCGCTAACTTGTAATGTTGCCTCTTCTAGCGCGGTTTTACAGCGCAGAAGCGGTGTGCCTTCACAATAGGGTCAATTCACCAGCAAGTATCAGGCACAGTGGAAGAATGATATTTGAATGTAAGCTTGTTTAGGTTTTAGTTTTATATATATATATATAGTTATAACATAATTTATGAACTAATTAATATTTTAATAATTTTATTTAATTTCATGTTCACAAACATTGAGGCTGCCAGGACAATAACATCGATATTTAAATCATCGATGGAAATTCTATTATTTTAATAGAGTTAGGTCTCTAGACATCTAGAGTGGAGACCTAATATCGATGATTGTTTTGACAATTTCAAATAGGTGTTAACTTTTAATTTTTAGTTTATTTTTAATAAATAATTTTTTTAATTTTATATTTTATACTATTTTTATTTTGAACAAATTATTTATATATATAAAATAAATTTGAGTAGGATAGCGCGCACAATAATGTTATCAAGAGGGTATGGGAGAATCACATGACAACTAGGTAATATTAAAAAGAATATTTATTTTTTATTTTATAATTTTATGTTCTAAATTCTAATTAGTTACTATGGAAGTAGGTTGCATGATTTTTGGTATAACAAAAAAAAACGAACAGATATGCGAGGGATAACGGTCTTTAAGGATGGAATGAGGTGGTTGTTTAACAGGAATTCAAATTGTTATTCATCTCAGGAGATATATGGGCGACATATATTGAGCACATGATGTCTGAGTGGTTCTCACGGTGCTCACAGTTTGGTGCTGACAACTAGAACCGACAAATTCATGGTTCGGTGACCATGCATACCAGCAACTCTAGTCCATATGCTACACCTGCGAAACAGATGGTAAGATTAATTTAAATGAAATATATTATTAATTAATTTTTTATTACTTAATTATTATTTTTTCTTATAGACTATATGTCTTGGACGTGAGCTAAGCCCAATAGATATGTTTGTAGAAACGCACATGCAAAGTGAAAACCGTTAAAAGGAGGTGCACCAGTACATTGATAATCATGCTTAGCACTTTATAGCATGTTCATTTAATCATTTTATTTCATAAGTTATTATTTTCTTGAATTGAATATTATGATTATTTAAGAAAAAAATTCATGAGACCTATAATAACCGATTGAAGGAGAGAAAAGGGAACGATCCTTTAACCCATTCGGATTTTGATTTGGATTTATGGATGGAGGTAGGATTGTTTAGTGGACCCGATAAAAATTAAATGTATGAGTTCTCTAACACTATGATCGAGAACTTGCAAGTGGCCCATAGTGTCTTAACCATTGAGAACTCTCAATCAATATCGAGCATCCAATCTAAGGAGTTCATGACCTTGTAACAACAATACGAGCAACTCTCGAAGGATTATGAATAACTCCGCCAAATGATCATGGACATTAGATCACAGATAGTTGATACATGTGTGACCCTTTTCTGGTTGTTTGGTACTGTGAACAACTAACCTCCTTCTCCTCTAGCTTTGCCATTGTTCTAGTTTAATGTTTTTTGGAAACACATTAAATTTAAAATGAATATTTGGATGAATATTATTCAACTTTAATTTTATATTTTTTATGTTTAATACAATTTTTTTGCATAATTGGTTTTTTATTATTAATTTATATAATTTTATATTATTTATTCTAAATATTTTTTTAATGTTTTTATAAAACCACCAAAGGATTTCTAGATGGTATTTTTCAATCAGTATTTTACCGAGAGTTGAAAAATTTTACTAAAAATGCAACAATCACTGATGTCTCTACAGACAAAAAACATCTGTCAGTATTTTACCAAGAGTTGAAAAATATTTACTGCATATGCCACCATCTCCAACGTGTATATCGACGGACATATCCCATCAAAATTTTACTGAGAGTTAAAAAATATTTATTTTATATTCCACCATCAGCAATAGAATATGCCTATCGATAAATTTCTTATTGGATTTTTTATTTGAGTGCATTTTTTGTTTGTAAAACCATCGATATTTTTCTTCTTTTTTTTTACTGATAGAATTAGCGACAAAATATGGAATTGTCAATGAAGGATATACCGACAGATATAGTTCGTTAGTGAATTAGACGATAATAATTTATCAATGAAATGGCACTCTTACTCCGACGGATTAGGTCTATCAATGAAACTATTAAATATTATGGTGCTAATAGAAAATTGATAAATACAAACAAAAAATATCAAGGGAATTACTGTGAAACAAATAATTAAAACAAAGCAAAAAAATGATGATGTTTCATATATATCAATAGAATTACCAATAGAATAAATTTTATTGATAAAATCTATTGGTAAACTATAAATATTATTATCATGTCAATTACAAAGGGAATTACCATTGGAAAATTTTATCAGTATTTTTTAGAAAGCTCTGGAATTGTTTACTTTCTAATTGCACTGTTAATTATTGTTCTTCACAAATA